TTTGTTCCCCTTGTAAGTGTAACATCTGTTTACTTGACAATTATTGGTGTTGTGAAAATCTATTTGCTTCTTTTTTTCTTAAACATATATATTTTTTCTTTTTTTCTTTATTTCTTCCAAAAAATTTAATCTGTCTTTTGTGTCGTAAAAGAGAAAATGTCTGACGATAAAATTGCAAGTGATCCACTTGAAAATAAAGAAACGTTAGAAGAGTTATCGTCTGATGTAACAAAGAAAGATATAACAGCTACAATGAAGTATGATAAACATCGTAGATTAACTATGAAGCCCTCTAGTAATCGATATAAAAGATCTGATGATAATAAATCATCAGACGAATGATCATCTTATGGTGAACCTGAAGAAGAAGATACTTTTGATACATTTATTCTAAATAATTTTAGTCTGTTCTCCGGAAATGAGAATGTGATTGAATGGTTAGATAGTACTGATAAGAAGTTCAATACTTTTAAAATTTCACGTAAACATCGATGTCTCGCAATTCCTTTGCTTGTCGGAGGAGATGCTAAACGAATATATATCGAGAATGAGAATAAGATAAATACGTATGATGATTTCTATAAATTGATATGGATGGAATATAAACCTATCAATTATAATTTTCAACACACAAAATCGTACTCTGGTCCACCAACATTAAGTCAGAGTAATTTAATCGAGGATGCGTCTATACGAAAGAATGTTGTTTTCGATGATAAACTGGAAATGACTACTAGTACCTTTGAATTAAATGATAGTTTACCGCAACCTCCAATTTTACGTTCAACCGCATTACATGATCTAGGAGCCACCGGTTTATCCGGTGATGATCCTGTTAATCGATCAAATATTGCAACATTCCAGAATACATTTCTTAATTCTACTATTCTTGATCAAACAGCTTATGCACTTCGTCGTGCAATCGTTGATAGTACTGATAGTCCCGATATGATAAGTTTTGAATGTGAAACACCTCTATTCTGCTCAAAGGCTGTTGTTGATTTTGGTGCCACCAATGCTATTGGTGAGAAACCAGCTATGAAATTCATGACAGTTAGCTCTGATCCATCTATAGTTACTTTTGATCTAATTCGAAACGAGCTTCCTCGAGAGATCGTAGAAAGCTCGATGAAAAACTCCATGAAATTACAAGGTGGCCAAAATTACATGTTAAAACGGGTCCACCTAATTAAACACGTTGCACATTTGGTAACCATTCCGAATTCTAACCAGTTAGAATTACTTTCTTATGTGTTACGAAGAGATGTTCCTCAATGTCATAAAAATATTACAAGTATGTATAATTCAAGGAAAAATTTCCTTTATAAAAAAAGAAAGAAAAATCAACTTTTAAACACAAATGCTTATGGGAAAAATAGCTATAAAAAATGGCTTTGAACTCATCCTTATGAACATTCGTTTTATTAATGTTCCTCATCTTTGGTCTTTTTTGTATATTTATGTTTGTTATATTTTTTTTTGTTTTTGTTATATTCATGAAGACTTGTTTGTCTGTGGGCCTCTTTTTGGTCAACATGGTTGATGTTAACTCTCCTTTTGCTTCTCTTCTCCTTTCAACTCAAGACTTTACCTAAAGACGTTTTTTGTAACATTTCCACTTTTCCTTTTTCTTTCCAGCCTACACTTGTGTGTGGGCAGGAGTTTT